GGGGGGGTTGCGCTGCTCTGTCATCGGCCGTGTTCCGATGCGACGGCCAGCCCAGCCAGCGACATCCGATCTTTTACGGAGAGGACGCGTTTGTTGGCTGAGCACTTTCATGAATCTTCTGCTCGAAGACAGAGGAGGGGGAAGGAGGAGGGTGTCGGGCTTTTTCATCCCAACTTCGAACTCCAGACGACACAGGACAAAAATGAAGATTGCTATATTTAACGTTGAGCGCTGGGCCTTTGTCGCCGATTGGTGGGCAGGGGTTGGTCTGAAACCGCAAGTGTCGCCTTGCAGCGGGATTCTAGAATTGTTGGTTGGGATGTGGTGAACTCTAAATTCCGGTTGGAGCAGCGACGGAGGTGTTGGTTGCTGTGTGTCTTTTCCTTGCCCCCCCGGGGAGTTATTCCCCAAGGAGTCGTGCCTCCTCCCACACAGGAGCTTGCCCTCCCTTGTCACGAGTCCGTACGATCCGACGAACCCGCAACCACTGATCACGCACGCCCTACGTCTTACGCCCGGCCCAGCCTTGAGACGGCAGAAAGCGCAGTGTGTGGGAGAGTGTAATGTATGTATGCAGGTACACACACACGCGCGCAAAAAGGCACGCCGCCGAAACCTGGTACAACCCAGCTCAAACCAGCGTACGCGTACCCGCAGAGGGGCGGTCATCTTACATCGTTACACGGCAGGCCGCCCGTCACCTTCGCTCATCTGCTTGCGCAAGTTTGTGCCGTGGGTGTGTGTAACCGCGTCGCCGCCTTCCGAAGATTGCACAGCCTCCCCGCTTGTCCCAAGAGATCGGGTTGATATTACGGCTGTTTGTAATAGCACGACTCGCAGGGGTTTTCGTCGTTGATTACGGGGCATATAACAGCTTGCGAGATCCCTCGTTTCCGAGTGGGATGCGCTGCAGTCCTGTCCATCATCAACCTTACGAGTCTTATCTTCGAGCTTTCATTTCGACACATTCGCTACGATACAACATTTGTAAACAACAACAATACAAACTCAAAAGAACACCTTCATTACATACACAACTACTAGACACATTCCATCATGAAGTTCACACTCGTCACATTCATTGCCATCGTCGGCGCCGCGTCCGCCATCAGCGTCGACGCCGGCCTCGTCAAGAGACAGTGCATCGCCAAAGGAGGTCAGTACAACCTCACTCTCACAATACCTCATTAAAGATACTAACAATTGTCTTCAGGCTTCTGCTTCACCAGCATCGCCGACACAAAGAAGCCCTGCTGCGGCGGGCTCGTCTGCAACAACAAGCCCCAGCCCAACACCAACATCTGCGAGCCGGAGCCGAGCCCCTCGTCGACGGCCAAGCGCGCCCGCGAGGAGCTCCAGAAGAGGGCCGAGGCGCCGGCGGCCCCCCAGCCGCGGGGGATGCCTCAGATTCCCGACAACGAGCCGAGATGGGGTTGAAGCATTGAAAGAGATGCACTGCCCAGGACGGGAAGAGGTTTCGGGGCGTGTGGAGGATGAAGAGGGACGACCGTTGTTTGCTTTCTTGGTCTCGAAGGCCCTTTTTCACGAGATTACGACTTTTTTGCTCTTTTTTTTATTCTCTTGAGGCAACTGGGTTGCGCAGAGTTGATCTATAGACCTTTTGATACCATTACAACAAGCGTTGAATATGAACTTCTTTTCTTGTACAACACATGAGGAATCTCGCGTGGTGTCTATCTACCTTCACGTGGCTATCGACTCGTTCACAATTTCACTTCCAACACCGACAAATCCAGACCTGCCAAGACCACAAAAACTAATCACTCCCGCCCGAAAAGTCTATCTCGCTGACGGAATCTATCTGAGAACCCACAGCCCATGGCTCATGCTTGGTGGCCAGATACGCTTATCGTCAAGTAGACAATGGGCCAAAGTTTGTTTGATTGAGCCAAATTGGACCGGCCCCCCCGCCCCCTTTTGCCAACCGGCCACATCCCGGAATGGCCAATTTTTGGGTGCGGAAGAGCCTCATTTAGCCCAAAGAGTAGATGCGACATGGCAATCTGATGTGACTTTTTCGAGATTGCGCCTAGATGATGGTGGTTGTGGGTAGACGACTTGCCGCATTTGCGGTTCTTCATTTGGAGATTTTGCCTATTTTCAGAAAAAAGGGTTGACAGCATGAGTACCGCAACAAACCGAGTATCTCGCAAAGTTCATCGACGCTGAGCAATCACCAGAAGGCACAGAAGGGGGAGGCAATATACCGCAAGAAAGTAAGACAAAAGCCAAGCAAGTCACGCATCACAAGTCTGGACCGTTGCACGCACAATCACTTGGGAAAATGTACCGACGACACCACCTCCCAACCCTGACATCCCCCGCCCGTCCCATCTTCCCCCGGCCGCAAAGGCAACCAGAGTCCGGGAACCGAGACAGATGACAGGATGACGCGGAGGCTGGGAGAGCAAATGGTCAATTCGCAAGACCGAACCACCCAGATGCCCCCACCCGTAAAAATTCCCTGTCCATTGAAATAGGAACCGTCGGCTCGCCCCGTCATGGTTGGCCTACCCCCGACAACACTTCATCTTGCGATCTTGTGCCTTGCGGTGGTACGCCCAGAGGACGGGGTTCTTGATGTACCGCTCATAATACAGAGCAGTCAAGGATGAATCTCTCCTTGCGCTCCACCTTGAAGTGCGGATGCCTTGGTCTGAAGACACCTCGGCGAGTGTTTGCGATTGTGTTTGCATGAAAGGGGAAGAGGAAAGAAGAAGAAAAGTAGGCATCAGTTGCATTAGTCTTTGGCGCGTACCAACGAGGTTGGGCGTACGTGTGGGCGGCCCATGGGTATCGTACATTTTGTTTCTCTAGTTCAATCTTTTCGTCAGCCAACATCGGTAGGTCAGATCTCAAGTGAATGAGACCCTCTTGCGTCCACCACCGCTTTCCATCGTCGTCAAAGCTTGGTCAATTTCCATGATATCCAGCATCTCCTCCTCAAAGTCGCGGCCTGCGTCGTCGCCTTGCACGTCCGCCGCGGCTTCCAGGCCACTGGCGAAGCCGCCGAAGCCCATGCTGGACTTCGGTCTGCCGATGGGCAGCGTAAAGTCGTGAGTGGCATCGTCGTCAGGGGCAATGCTGTCACGTCCATAGGACTGATCGCGCAGGCTTCTCGTCTTGTTGACACTGAGGTTGAATGAAACGTTGCGAGGCTGATCCGGTCGGGGGTGGACAATAATGGCGCTGGGTGGCTCCTTCTTGTCGAAAAGTCGTCGGCGGGTTGAAACCACACCTCCAATCTTCGCACCGGGTGCATCTTCACACTCCTGGACAATGACCAGTCGGCTCTCGCCCATAACAAAAACTTCGATTTGAAGACCACCATCGTTGTCCTTGAGCTTGGAAAAGTCAACTGCTGCACCCACGCCGCAGCATCTCTCACCCAACAGCCCTGTGGCCAAATCGTGGAGTCGGATCATCTTTGTAGGCGTAGTACCGCTGAATAGGTTCACGCCGCCGCCGGAGCTGCGTCGCAGTTGCGAGTCCCAGAATCGGCTGACCGCGGGAATGACGGAGACATTATCAAGACCGCCGATCCACAGTACGACGCTCTCATCGGCGGAACCTGAGCTGTTGCCGGGAAGAGGCGTCACCACAATGCCTCCCTTAACGGCTACGAGGCGTTCCAGAGAGCCGGCAGCACTCAAGGAAGCTGCAGCATCCCGGCGGGTGTGGGGTGTCATAGGCACGAACTCCCCGTTGCCGTTCGACCTTGGCACTCCAGCTGTGGCGCGCAAGGGACCCGTTCCCTCGACATGCCCAGTCGCGCTGAAGGCTGTCAGCGCCGCACCCTTGATTCCAGAGCTGTTCTTCCCGAGGAGGGAGCCACCAAGCGGGCTGGCGCCGTCCACATCCCAGATTCCCCAGGTGCCGTCGGCAAGCAGGGCAAGAACGGCTCTGCCATGGGAAATCCAGGCAGCATCGAGGAAAGGTTTCCTCGTTGAAGTGGGACGAGTGAAAGGGTGGTACAGGGAGAGAAGCCATGACCCTTGGCTGGGGAAAGGCCCTACGGCCTGGTCGTCCGGAGGCAAGGAGGGCTGCGCGTAATCATAGATGCGAACAGCGTGAGGCGTAGAAACCGTCAGAATTTGTGTGAGATGTGTAGGGTTGAAGGAGACGCTCGACAGAGGACTCGGTAGATATTCGGTTTGGAAGGGGTTGATGCGGCCGCTGGCTTCGCCGGGCTGTACATCCAGGGGAACGTCCCAGAGACGAAGAGTGCCGGACGCCTCGCGGGTGTGCGCAGCCACAACAAGGCGTGGCTTCTGTGAAATACCGGACTTCTCAGTCTTGGGCTTGATTAATGACATGGCGATGCCTTCGCTGTGCTTGTACTGTCCACCGAGGAAAATAACCCTCTCTCCCCACACACCAGATCCAGCCTTACCGGCCAACAAGTTGGATCTCAGCTCAGGACGTGCCTTGCTCTCGGGACTTGGTGGCGTCAGAGGGAGTGCAACGACATAGAGCTCGTTGGTAGCGCAGGCCACGGTAAAAACCATCTTCTCCTTGAGGACGTCGGCTCCTTCCCAGGCCGCATCATCGGCAGGGCATGGCGTCATAGGCAACACCGCCAAGTGCAGCGCGGCCGTGCCGAGGGCAAGATCCAGCGTTTGAATGATCTCCGGGTATGGGGTATCCTCCTCGGTGTCCTCGAACTCGGGCTTGTCGGTGAAAGGAGCCGGTGCTTTGGATGATTTGGACGGGGGCTCGTCGTCGTCTGAATCGATGATCATGACAGCGTCGTCGGTAGCTCCGTTCTGCTTTTCGGGTGGGGAAGGCTGCTTCTTCACGGGCTTGAAGCGGCGGCCGCCTTTCCATGCAATGGAAACGCCGTTGTCGTGGCCGTATAGAAAGATGGTGGCTCCTTGGGGAGACTGGACGGGGTAGGTCTTGACATCGTAGATACGTCTCGAGAGGTTGTAACTTGGGTCAGGTCAGTATCCACGCTCCTCACAGGCGTTCTGTCTCGAAGACGTACGTGTATTGCGTATTTTGCGACGTGCGCCGGACTCGCGGCGTGGGCTGAGCCATGGCGGGACGTCTCGTGTGATTGTTTGTGTCGAGCGTCGACCTTTCCCAGAGGTGATGATCAGCAAGCAGCAGGCGCTAGGTCGTATTGATCTGCCTTGACAGTGAAAGATCAAATTTAAGGTGTTTTGAGGCAGTTTGAGGCTTCGAATTGAATGCTGCAAGAGCTCGTAGCGGGGTCTGACGCAGTGGTGGGTTGTTTTGCCAATAAATGAAGCCGGATGTCTAGCAAAAACGCGACAACAGTCGCGAAAAGCATCGCAGCCGGCAGGTGCAGCTGCTGTGGCTGACGACCCACTGAGCTTTTTCTGCCACGTCCAGTCCAGGCGGTGTCTGGATCGTGTGGCTGATAAGCCTTTGCCAGCTGCCGCCACTCACGGCATCCTCAGGAAAATGCACCGCGAGCAGCTGTCGAAGGGAGCTCTAGCAGCTACTACACACGATCGTCACATCTCCTTGATCGGCTTGGACGGTAGTCGACAGCCTGCATTACTCGCCAGATCGGTGATACTCTTCCTTCTCTTGACCTCAAGGGTTTTTGCTTATTTGTTTCTGGTCGCGAGCTTTGACTGGCCTGCCTACTTAGAACGTCAGCTCCTGGATAGGTCCCCTACCTCAGGTAGTTGGTGGAATCTGCCCCTCACTGCAACGTTCACCCCTCGTTGCCTCGTTCGATGAGCAGTCGCCGGCTTCAAATTTGGACAAGGCTATTTCATCAAGTCTTCGCTCGACCGTATGTTACCCCTCCTCAGCTACCAATATTTACCTTATACTGACAGCCAATAAGTACTTGATTGAACGCTCTGTCTACTCGTGACAAGCTTCGGCTTTTTGTCGTAGATACGTTGCCGCCGCCAAGATGCTCACCCCAACGGTCGCCAATTCAATCTCTTTCTTTTACCCTGTAGGCAACACTCCTGCCGTCAACTTGGCTAGAGGTCTGCCCCAAGGAATTGATGCCAATTTACTTCTTCTGGGCTGCGGAGATGTGAGAAACATCTTGCACACTGCGTACAACGAGGTTGGACTGCGTACGGTGATACCCACATGCGACAAGCATTCACGGATCAGCGACTGACCTCCTCATAGCGAGTCGTAAATTCGACGTGACATGCAACGATTGGGATGAGGCAACTCTTGGTATGTGACTTTTCCCGATGTCCCTTTCTGCCGCAACTGACCGTCTCGAAGCTCGCGATGTCTTGCTCTTCTCATTGCTCCTCGATAACGCCGCCGCCGGCAACACAGCCTGGAACCTCTTCTACGACCTACGCATCTCCAAGGCCGATACTCAGCTTCTCTCAAATCAGCTCGAGAAACTACTCGCGGCATCCGAATCATTTAACTCTTGGAAGGCTAGCTCCTATGGCAAAGTCTTCCCCTTCGTCGATGAGGCTACCTTTGATGACGTCCGCGCAATCTGGAAAACATGCTTTGACACTGCCTCTGCAGATGATCGAGCTGGACAGGAGGCTGCGCTCAAATCTGCCATCAAACGATCTTTAGAAATTAGAAAGGTCGTCATGGGCGGCGAAGGACAAAGCTTAACCGGCATGCGATCTGCTGCCCCTCTCTCGACGGGAAACTTCGAAGCCATCACCAACGCGACCGATGCCTACTTCGATACCTCGAAACCAAATCACAGCTGGTCCGGTGACATTCCTAACCCTATGTTCATCGCCCCGTTATCAAGCCACAGAGTCCTGCACCACGGCGCCGACCCAATCCTCGGATTTCACCTTGCGACCGGTTTCGCAGCCCTCACCGACGCGTCTCCGTTGAAACCCGATCCGAAAGATGGACCATTGATGGCATTCGCAGCAGCCAAAACCCAGTTTCGCGAATGGAGCACTGCTTGCGGCAATCTCCTACGCGAGAAAAAGCTTGTGATCCGCTTCGTCGCGAGCGAGGCTCTTGCTTTCTGCCAGACTCTTCAGCATTTTGTTTCCACAAAGGAAACTTCAGCTGGATGGTATCGCAGGCAGTTTGACTCAAGGCCCTTTTGTCTGGATCCCGATGCGTACGGAGGCAAGCTAGCCGCGCCCTCCTCCTTTGATGCCATCGATACATCCAACCTCGCAGACCACGTCGGCACGATCAACCTCCTCACGTCCGCACTTCCCTTGCTTGCCCCTCAGCCATGGTCTTCTGTGTTCACGGAAACTCTGCTGAAGAGAGAGGACACGAGCAAGGAAGGATTCGACAGAGTTCTCTACGGCCACGGGCCCACTGTGTCTTTGCTTCTTGGCGCCAGCGCAGTCGAGTACTGGACCAATACAACGGCTGTGTCATGGGTCGACGAGATGTTGATCAATTTCATGGCCGGCACGTTGCAAGACAAGAAGGACGTCCAAACTCAGCTACACACCCGCATAAACTGGAAGCAGAGCAAGTTCTTTTCCGGAGTTGACACCACCGGGCCACTTCAGGTTGACCCTGAGGCCCTTGCAGGCGTGCTCTTTAAGCTTTACCTCGAGATCTTTGCCCATGAAAACCCGATGAAGCTTCTATCCATATCGAAGGCATCGATGGCTCAGCTTATTCGCAATACAGCCTACACAAACTTCCACCGAGGGACTTTGGTGTCCCTTATGCGCTACCTCAAGCTAAGATTATCTGTTTCCGACTTTGATCGCACAGTTAACCTCTTCTTGGAGAAGTACTCTTTCGAAAGAAGCCTCATGTTCACTGGCAACTTGCGGCAAGACTTTTCTCTGCAGATGCACACCCAGGGGCTATTTTCTGAACCCTGGCTTCAGAGAGAAATTAAGCCAAACCGCAACCTCGGCGGTTTCGACTCCTGGGAATCGATCCCAGAGGTTGTGGCCGTAACCCTTGTGGTCCCGAACAATGCGATCAAACGCATGTTTACTGGCTCGCACGAGGCGGACATCGCGTCCCCCACCGTCAGAGGTTCCCTGGTATCCGGTAAGGATGCCGACCACAAGTGGCACAACTTCTTCGATGATGTGCAGCTCGTCTGGGGCACCGTCAAGCCCAGTGGCGACCGAGAATCTTCCAATAAGTTCTCCGTCACTGTTGAGCCTGATCCCGCCGGATGGGCCGGTAACTCACCTCTCATCGCGTCATTCTACGTCCCATCTTCCGCGCTTCAAGTCGAGCGCAAGACGGCTTTCGTACGTCTCGAGGTCCAAAGCTCTGCCCAGAACATTGCAGTCTACCAGAAAACACTTGGCCAGGATTTGAAGGTTCACGAAAGCAAGCTGGCAGATGAATCCAGCGTATTCATCACAAAGTATCTGCCTGGTCAGACCCGATACCCCGCGACTTGCGAGGCCGCCGGTGCCGTCGCGGAGTCTGCCACAGAGGCGAAGGGAGAGACTCAAGCCATTTTTACTGCCAACATGACAGCAGAGCAAGACAAGATAGCAACTATCACTGGCCATCTCGATTTCCTCTCCGCCAAGGGCAAGAAGCTACTCACCGATAAGGTTCCCATCGAGACTGAGCAAGTAACTCCGTTTACTGTTAACGTTGTCTTTGGCGAGAAGCAGCACATCTACCCCATCACCTTTCCCATTCCCATTGACGCTAGCGAAGGCAAAGTAAAGATCCGAATCGCCCGCAAGTCATCTTACTTCGAAGTCATCGCGCCCATTGCTGCCCCTGCCACAGGTGGAGGCGTCGAAAGCCCCCTTGTGGACTTCACCTTCCCGATTACCCTCGCAAAGAGCTTATCACACACTCCGGTGGACTTCAACACCCCGCACTTCAACCTCGACCGCCTTCCCATCATCGATATAACTAACAAGGCCGCAAACCGCTTCATGGTCAACATGATTGCCTGTCATTTCTCCGTCGGCGAGAAAAAAGTCCGCGAGCAAGCCCAAGCAGGCCGCGGCAATGGCATCTCCCGATCCACTCGCCTCAACTTCAAAGAATCCGTATTCACCATGTTCATGCTCGCCTCGGGCTTACAGGGCGGGCAGACTGGTCTGATGTGCCTGAGCCACGCCTCGAATGACACCGGCGTTCACATGCTCATCCTCGTCTCTGCCGTCCGTCTCGATCCTGCCTCCGGCTCCGTCGTTCTCGATGCCGCAGTGATCCCTTTCACCGAGAAAATGATCCACGAGCTCGAGCCCTTCCTTCTCATTCTCCGCGAGCTCGAATGCGCCCAAATCAGCGTCGACGACGCGGAGCTCACCCTCTGGCGCAAGGTGCTCCCCGCACTTGCAGAGCGCACCCGCACCTGGGACCACAAGTCGTCGTGCGAGTACCGCAAAACGGGCAAGGTGCCCGTATCGACGGAGACGGGGAAGCAGGTCCTCTGCTCTTGCGGTCAGGGAAAACTGCCGGACAACTTCGTCGCTCTTCCCGAGTGGGATACCGCGTCAAAGTATGCCACGCGCATCGCCATCAGCCCGACTTTCGCGGTCCCGTTCGTAGATGACTGCGTCGACTTTGAGACCTGGGGAAGGAGTGGAGGAGGCAGACAGCAGCAGGTGGAGAGGTGCAGAGCCTGTGGCAAATCGGAGGCTGAGAGCAGTACGAAGCTGAAGAAGTGTACGCGCTGCTTGCAGGTCAAGTATTGCAGCGGAGAGTGTCAGAAGAAGGATTGGAGGAAGCACCGCGCGGAGTGTGCGGAGAGTGACATTCACACGAAGCTGGAGGCGCCTGACGTGGACTAAAAGAAGAGACACTGGGCCTGGTACCAGCAGATAAACGCGAATATTCGTCAATATAGAACCTTGGCCAGTTCATGTACTATGGTAGGCTACCTGCCAGCCACATTATCAACCTTTCGAGGGAAATGGAAATCGCCATTGGTAAGGCGAACCTGCTAAAGAAGCCAATGTGCGTCTGCAGCCCTGCTCTTATTCTACGTATATGATTGGCGGTTGTACATGAGGCAGCCACGAAATGGTGGGCAGGCGCTGACGCTCAAAACTAGGCTGCGCCCACCTTCTCTGCTGCATCTGCTCCATCTGCTCCTCGCGAAACTGGCGGTGTCCACCTCGCCCCATATGCTGTACAGGACTGTCTCAGCGGTACTATTTGATTTTCAACTCGTCTCTCATCTACGATAAGATGCTGTTTCTCAATACCAGAACGTTACGTCTCGAGGAGATCTCAGATCCGTCGGCGGTGAACTACGCTATTCTCTCGCATACTTGGGGTGACGATGAAGTTTCCTTCAAGAATATGAAAGATTTCGAAAGGGCAACCCGACAGGAGGGATTTGTTAAAATCGAGCAAACGTGTCAACTCGCCCTTCAACGAGGCCTCGAGTATGCATGGGTCGACACGTGCTGCATCAACAAAGCCAGCAGCGCAGAGCTGAGCGAGGCTATCAACTCCATGTTTTCGTGGTATCGGTACTCAACAGTATGCTTCGTTTGGTTAGAGGACCTTGCCCCATTCCACGTAGCGGCGAATTCGTTGCCACCATCCGCAAGCTCGTCGCCGAACCATGGGAAGAAACTACATAACATTTCAGACATGGGCTCTTGCAAATGGTTCAGTCGCGGCTGGGCGCTGCAATAGCTCATTGCCCCTTGCGAAGTCGAGTTCTATGACGCAGAATGGAGCCTCAGATTCACAAAGAAGGACAGGACTTCCGATCTCTCTCTTATTACGCGGATAGATGAGGATGTATTGAAGATGACCAAACAACTCAAGGACGTCCTCGTAAGTGTCAAAATGTCATGGGCAGCCGACCGGCAGACTACGCGTGTTGAGGACATGGCGTACTGTCTTCTTGGCATATTCGACATTAATATGCCGATGCTCTATGGGGAAGGTCAAAAGGCGTTCGAACGGCTGCAAGAACAAATTGTTGGCCAGAACAAAGATGTGTCGCTATTCGCCTGGCGGTCTTGCGAACCCGATCAAACCTACCGAGGCATCTTCGCCAGAAGCCCAAGAGAATTCAAGTCTTGTGCAAAAACACGATTGAGCACTCGATTCATGTTTTCAGATCCGGACTTTTCCCTAACGAACAGAGGCGTTCAGTTCCACATGGAGTCGGTGATAGTCGACGATGACACACATTTGCTGATGCGTCTGGGCATTCGGTGTGAGGATTGTATCGATCATCGCGATGTCCACATCTGTCTCCTACGGACAACCAAAGGATATGTCCGCGTTGCACCCCATGCGTGTTGGCGGCCACCAGCTGCAACAGACTTGCGAGGTCCAATCACAGTTCATTGCCGCAAAAATGTCGATGGTCTTGAGAACTCGGTGCTTCAGCGCGTGGCATCAACCCCTCTAAGAGTGTCATTGGATATTAACCAGAAGCACTTACTCAGGTTCTCCCAGTATCCCAAATTGGCGTGGGATCCTACCTGTGGTGGATTTTGTGGCGATGCTCTGGTCGAAGACTTCTCGGGCTTCATGGACGTCTACACGCAAGTGCCCGAGGTTTTGGTATTGACCGTTGTCATTCACAAATTGGTGCACGAGGCCGAACCCGACGTGGAGCTCTACGCTGCGCCTCGGTATCGTGGGATTCTGTGGAAAGTGATTGAAGGTTGCAGCTCCGACGACTTATACGTAGGTAGACGCCTTGACGCGGATAAGTTGTTGACAGACTACAAGACGGCGAAGGCGAAGGGCATCTATCGGCACAAGAAAATATTCCATCTCAAACAACGCCAGACACTTAAGAGACAGTCCATCACCGCATCATTCGAGGCTAAAGTGGTCGGCCTTCAAGTCACAGTCAGCTTGGTACTCTCGTCTGGTCATGATCGGAACAGCGACGACGATGAAGAAGAAACAGAAGACGAAGGACATGTTTCTGGGGAACGCTATAGTGCGCTACCAACCAAAGCAAAGCTCTGATACGTGTCCATAGGCACTTGTATCAAGAATATCATGTTACATTCAAAGACTATCCAAAGCAATTATGTGAACAGAATCTTCTGAAGTGCCCTCATCTCCAGCGTCCCCGCCGCACCCAGAGAAATCCAACAGCCGATCATCGTTTCATCCCCCAGCGATCCCGACGTCATCCCGCTCGTCAAAATACAACACCCTCAAACCCGACCTCCAAGATCCTCATACATCTTCCCAAGCCCAACCACCGTCTCGGCGCCGAACGACACGCCCGCCCGCCAGGACCATCGACCCAAAGGGTTCCCCCATTCGTTTTTCTGTTATCAGGCCATCAAACCAAGACCCAGCAAACCGTAATCATCCCGGAGAATAGGACCCAAACTTCCGTAAGGCAGCAAACATCAAAATGCCCACAGAAACTCCACAGCTCAATCCCCGAACCCGAATTACGGTAGGGCTCCCGTGGACACAAGTAAATCACGGTAAATATTTTCCCCTTGGGGGCCCTTGATGAAACATCTCCCAGCCCCCAAAAGGCCTCCAAGCTCATCATATATCGCCGTAGGTCAAATATAACCTCCAATGACCTGTACCAAATTCACGTGTGTCCGGGTTGCCATCAAATGTCGTCAGGCCAAGCCGGCAAACGGGGGCGTCGGGGGCGGACGGGGGGCCCAAGTGGGATAAATCAAGCCAGAGGATCAGGGTCCGCCCCTCCATATGCCAAGTCACAAAGAAGACCCCCCATTCATAACCCAGCACACCTAACAACGCAGCAAGTAAGGATCCAACACATCACACTCAAAACCAACCCCCTCCAAAAACCACTCGTCAACCGAAAGAAAGAAGATCTCCATCGTGCTCCGTATCGCCATAAGCACCGCCGACACCAATGAAGACCAGCCCAAGCGCCGACCGGTTGGTCAGCCGACCACCACACACACACTGACATCCACACACATCCGTCTTCCCTCTTAGCGCGGCCTGCGCAGCAACCACACAGAAAGAAAGAAAAAAACCGCCGAAAAACGATCGTCAGGGGTCCTTAACATGACACAACCCACCCCATAATAACTTCCCCAGCGCACCCACCAGCTGAGAACCACCCAAGTCTTGCGCCTAACAAACGCCCTCTGCCTCTCTCCCACGCCCAATCACCCTCTCCCTCCTCCTCTTGACTCTGTCCCGTCTCCACGTGCTGGGAGGCCTTTCTTCCAAAGCAACCCAAAAACCGGGCAGAGAACAGAGAGGCGCACACAACGGGGCAGGGTCGTGGGCAGCAGACAGCGTTAATTACCAAGGTTAATTCACTCCCAGATCTGGGTCCCTGTGGTCCGCCATTCAGTGGCCCAGTCGGTGGGCAGCAGGCGGCGCAGTTTCTCTCGCCGCTTGGGGGCTGGCGAAGACCAGCGGAGAAATTTTGACTCGGGCAACCTTGGAAGACACGCGAGAGAAAAAGGCTCAGCCCGTTCGTCGTCTGGTCAGGTGACTTTGAACTTCTCGAGGCAGTCCTCCCCGGTGATAGTGAGAGTTGGAGCTCGGTGCCTGTTTGGCTCGGTGCTCGGAGGCACCCGGCGCTCGGAGGTTTAGACACCACCACCACCCAACGGCTGTCGGTGGGCTTCCCCAGGAAACCAACAGTTCACGGCCATTGTTCACTGTCAAGATCATCCCGTCAATGCGAATCCGTGAGTTGGAGCCCACGCGCAGAGCTGTCAGAAGCTGTTCGCCAAAAGCCAAGTGTGTAGTGAGATATGAGGTCATTTGAATGCTCGATTACTACGGTCCATTTCCTTTAAGTACAATCGACCACGCTATCAGAAAGATTTCCAGCACCACGAGAAAAACCCTCAAACCCCTTGGAACCCCATGTTCTCTTTTCCGTCGAGAAAAGAGCCCGTTTAACCAAGAAGAGGGTTTTTATTTAGCCCAACACTGTCCCAAAAAAAATCCGGCTCCCTCTTTTGTCCCTTCGTCGCGCAGCGGCTCTTGACCAATGAGGAAAACTGTCAGGCAACATGTGAAATACAAGACCACCGTATATGTAAACCATTTCATTGATAAAAGAAACGCCGCGGACGTCCATAATATGAGGGAGCCGTTGTACTATACACACAAGATGGGGGTAAGGGCGCCACCAATACTCCGTCGCAACTCTTTCCATCAAATGTCGTTATAAAAAAAAAGGGATATCCCCAACCGCCGCCGATGAGATTTTTTAAAAAGCAAGAAGACGGTAAAATATCTCGGCCGGCGCCAATACCTCCCCCGGAGAGAGGGAATCGTAAGAAGCGAAAAGTGCCCAGCGGGGGCGATTGGCGGGCCAGGACGTTTGTGCGTTAAGATGTTGATGATGATGATGTTGTTGTGTGTGGATGATTGAGGGGGTTGATTGGCGAAGGTTTGATCCGGGGAGGGAAAGGGCAAAAACATCCCGAGACGTTTTTGTGTTTCCCCATGTTTCTCCCTCCCTTGATTTGTAGGTGTGTGTTATCCGAGAGAGAAATGTCTAAAGGTGATCGCAAAAGGAGTGGACGGCGTAGGGTGTTTCGTGCCGACGGCGGTTTTTGTGTGTCCAAACGATGAAGATGATCCAACGCAAACCCATATCGTAAATCCGAGATATGTTCCCTACACCATGATACATATGAAATTTCCGACGACACTGGTCGTTCTTTTTATCGGAAAATTTGTTCCCCGAGTAAGCCAGCGTCGGAGAAATAGGAACACCTCTAAACGCCACGGATGCCAGAATGTTAAAGTAATTTAGTAAGCCAGTGGCTAGGTCGTTCGTCGTCACGAAGTGAGGTGCTCATGCGTTGGTAACCTAGAGATATCATGTCAGTTTTCGTTGCTCTCCTGGTCTGACATTCTTCAAGGTGAAAAACTTACTCGGAGAATCTTCCGCGAGTAATCTTGGTTGTCGGCGATGCTGCCATCGCTCATGCGGCGGTGGGCGAGCGTGGGATCCATGCGCGAGTCGGTCATGGACATGCCGCTGCTGCTCGGGGGCTTGGAGCCGCCGATGAAGGCGTTGACGGCGGCGTTGCGGCGGTGCTCCTCCTCGATCTCGGCGTTGCGCTTGCGGCGGACGTAGAAGAAGATGCCGCCGACGATGGCAGCGATGGCGACAACACCGACAACAACGCCCGCGGCGACGCCGGCGACGTTGGTGCCGCTCTTCTTCTCGGCGGCGGTGGTCTCGGCGGGCGGCGGCGTCGGGGTCTCGACGATGGTCTCGACGGCACCGCCGGCGTTTGTTGTGGTGGCCTTCGCGGTGGAGGAGGCGGATGTGGTGGCGGGCTCCTCGTCGGAGACGACGATCTTGATACCGGTGTTGTAGACGGAGTAGAACATGCCGTCCTCGACACCACCGCCTGATACTTGTGTCAGCTGATTTCCTTCATCTTCAATTGTTAGAGCGGGTTCAAATGGAAATACGTACAAGCTTCCAGCGGGTATGCTGGGCATCCAAAGTTGCACTTCTTGTCGTCGACGACGTTGATCTTGGGCGGGTAGTCGTCACCGCAGTAGCAGTCCTCTCCGTTCAGAGCGGCGACGTTCTTCTTCTGGTTCGTTTTGCACTCATCCGTGCACTTTCCTACACTGAGCTTGGTGACGTCGACGGGGTAGATCTTCCATGATGTGCCGTTGGCGTTGTAGCAGCCGTGAGAGGTGATGGCGTTTACTGTCGGGTTCTCACTTGGTCTCTGGTAGGCCGAGCTGGCGGTTGATGACTGGGCGGTGGCGACGCCGACGGAGACGGCGGCCAGGAAGGCTGATGAGAACTTCATAATGACGATTTGAGGGGGTATAGCGAGAGTGAGGAAAGGAAAGAAAGAAAGAAAGAGCAGGTTGAATGAAGGGCGGTCTCGAATCTGATCCAGGACTCGAAGACGGTGACAGGTTCGTGTGTCGTGTCTTGCGGGTTCGAGGGTCGATGAACGGGTCAGGGGCTAAATGGCTCGTGCGGATTCAATCGGCCACCAGATGTGATTTTTCCAACTCGAAATTCTCGGCAACGTCCTCGATTTCTTTTCTTTACTGATTGATGTTCCTCCCGTTCGATTAGATAGTTGTCGGTCGATTGAATACGTTGATTCGGTCGATCGGGGGTGTTGGTCGATGTTGACGAGCGAGCGTGTCGGGGCGGGCAGAACCGTGTCTAGGTCGTGCGTCCGGGAAACAAGGCGAGAGTCCTAAAGAATGTATGGGCACAGCGGGCCTACGATCTTCTCTTTTGCGTGCTGTCTTCGTGTCGGAAAACCCTTCTCTTGTTGTCGTGCGTGTCCTTCGAGTCTCTTTTGCTGGGGGAAGAAAAAGAGGTATCACCGAGCAAATGACATTGAAGGAGAGCGCGAAAGGAGCAAGGGAAAGGAGGAGACCTTGGCGGATCGAAGATGAGTAACAGGCGATGGAAGAGGGAGAGACTTGGGGGGGAGGGGAGGAGATTGGAACGAGTGACAGCGGGTGGAATTGGAGGGAATGGCTTGTTTTGTTGAAAAGAGGGAAACGAGCGCGGAGTGGGTTGAGATGAGGAGGAAAAGCGAGATTGCGAGTCCACTTTGCGGCATCCCGGGGGGCTCGGGGGAGCAGATGGAGGGTGTAAACCCAGAGTACGTACACGTCCTCTATGTAAGTCCTCGCCCACCCACACGCGCACAACTCGACCGTTCTCTCTCTCTCTCTGTGTCTGTTACAGTCTCTGGCAGTCCGTCTGAGGGTCATTGAGGCCATCTCTTGACCCGTTCTGCCATCTGGTGTGTGCACAACTCTTGCATAGAAGGGCTTGTCGAGAGGGCCACAGCGATGTCGTCTGCTGGTGGACACACTCTCGACGGAAGGGAAAAGCGCCGTCACGTCCGCCAGTCAGCGTCTGTGAGGGAATGGCTCGTACCGGGACAAGCCCTGAACAGCGTGGTGCAGCAGCATCAGTCACAGCCTAGGGGGTCCCCGGCAATATCCAAGGCCTTCAGACGGCACACACACACACACACACACGCACGCGCTACGAGACGGGGCAACACTGAGAGGGGTGAGGGGGCCAGGGGTGGAAAGACGGGCAGCAAGTCCTCCTCTCTTGGGCTTGGGGGAGCGTTGCCAGACAGACCCAGAGTGACTTGAAGAGGAGACACTGGACTCACACACACACTCAGTCGAGCTGAGAAAAAACCGCTACTACTGGCGTCCAGGCGGTTTTGGGAATAGACTGGGCAGCAGGCTTGACGCGGCCGTTGTCCAATGGCCTCATGCCGTGCCTGGCCAAGAGCCCATCTGATTGGATTCCATTGGAGCAGGTTACCCGTCCTGCTGTCCAACGTCGGCGACGATTGGATGTTCCCGCAGCAGAACGAAGCAGGGGTCCCGGATCAGGTCTTCCCTGGCAAGAATTCAGGAACCAGAATTACCGTCGAGGGGCGCAGTTGACTGGTGCAGATCACTTGCAGCATCGGCCGCGGTCGTACACTCTACCGTCTGAGAGCGCGGAACCCTGTTAGCAGCGTGGCTTGGGAGGCCTCGTTGCGTCTTAACATGAGCAACGGTTCCCGGTACACGCTATCGCGAGCCGTCGAGTGATCAGATCCACTTTCCAATTAAATCCTTCACAAAATGCAACACACCACCACCAAGGTCGTCGCGGTTCTTCATAACTCGTGGTTGTGCAGACACTATGTGCCAAAGGGGGGAAAAAAGGGGGAGGCGGTGGATAACTTGACACACGCGCTACATCATCTAACGATACCTGCCGGCTTAACGAATGGGGGCATCCTGTCGAGTTGTGAAGACTGAGCCTGGTTCATGTCCATGTTCCTTGGTTTGGGCGATGCACCAGGCTGCATGCTCCGTCGCATCGCATGCTCGTGATCTCCCTCATGGGGAGAGTCATTTTTGGAGGCACACACACCCGATCGCCCGGCTGCCAGCCGCGAGCCAACCACGGAACCGTACGCTGATGCCCCCATGGAAGAGCGGTATTCGCACAGCCGTTTGCTCAAACCGTCGTGATGATGAACTGTCGCCGTTGGGGGAAACTGCGAACGCCCAGCAGAGAGAATCTAGCCTCGATGGTACAGAAGCGGCGCAGCCTGTGGAAGCGAGATTCGGCCTTGGAGCCGGTATCCTGCTGTGCGACTCTGCGGCAAATTGATGAAGACAGGCAGGCACAAGCACGAGTCCTCTCTCTCCTTTCATCTGCTGGGCCGTTGTTCATCCTGCGGCCCATTGTGTGTGTGTTCGTTTGACGCTGATTGTCAGGGTGCCACGCGCCTGGCGCTACATACGGTATCCCAGATCCCAGACACGAGTGCATCTGGATGAACCTGGGACGGGGCAGGCTATGGGACGACCAATGGAGTACACAAAAGCCGACTGTGCCGCCGCACAAACACAGGTACCCGTGGCCGTACACACTGTCTTACGGGACGCCTGCGCACCGGCGTCCGTTGCAACCTTTTGGCTCTTGGTGCCACGATAGCCTGACAGGATGAACCCTCGCTCGGCCACGCCAAAATGCCCTCCTCCTCCTGGGCTTCGTCGCAACTGGCGGCCCAGCTGAACGTGCTTGGTAAGGGGGAACAGTCTGAACTTTGAGTGTATGCAAAGGCGGTGCAGGGCGGCAAAGGAGTGTGCCTCCGTCTCTGGCGTTTGACTCCTTCCCGTCAGTGACTGTTCGGACGGACTATGGATGGTGGCTCCAGCGTGCAGTAGTAGTAGTGTAGCTGCTGGTCTGTCTCCCTTCTCCTCTGTCCATACAGCCATCAATCACCGGCCTGTCCCTGGCGATTTGACGGCACCTCATACTTTTGCGACCGCTGATGATAGACGGCTCGCGGCGGGCAAAGCGCAACACACGACACGGACAAGCCTCATCGGAGGCTTGGTCGCAGGTTTTGCCTTGGTGCTGATCCTGTTCTCTCTGCGTCTTGACGGCAGCTGGTCGCCCCAAACGACGGGCTGGTGAAAACGAAACCCGCCAAGGGGCTGACCGGAGTCGCAGGTTGAAACTTGAAACGAGAGAAACAAACGGAAGAAAGATGAAGAAGTCGAAGGCGGCCCAGGGCCTATCTACGGCGTTCATTTGTCCGTTGCTTCACACTGCCGGCAGTCTGCAGTGGGTTTAACAGCACCGTTATCGTTTGGGGCGCTGTCGTCAGCTATTTTTTGTCCGACGCCAACAACACGCCTGGAGATGGGAGATGGAGACGGTGCCACTGGGATGGGTCCCCCGGATGAGGGCCGCGATCGGTAAGGCAGATTGGCTGCTGGCCGAGTTGGAGACCGAGCGACTACCGAGAGAGGGAGTTGGGGCCTGCATCTGGGGAGGAGACTGTGACTGTGAATGTGAGTGTGTGTCTTCGTACATGCAGCGCCCGCGCATGAGAAATCAGCCGGTATTGAAGCCTCTGTCTGGTGATGATGATGGCTGAATGTGCGGTCAGCAGTACGCCACACCTAGGTGTTGATTGCTCCCAATGACAGGCTGCAGACTGCATGTCAGAAAGCCGTTGCGAATCATCAACCACCTGGGTTATGCCGTGGCATTACAGTGTCCCGTACACAACGTTGGATATCAAACGCCGTTGTGTACAATGCTGTGCCCGCAGTCTAGACCCGTCTAGCGAATCTCCAGGTGTTCTGTTCTGGATGTGCAGTGGTGTGCACTCGGCACGGCAGCAGCAGATGGAGGCGAGATTGGGCAGCGGGATAATGCCACCCCCCCTAGTGTGTCTCTCTTGGGACTCTTGGGGACAGAGGATACGAGACGGGCGGCCGGGCCAAGAGGCTTGGGAAAGGCTTGCAGAGAGGCTTGCAGCGTGCCCGTTCATCTTCTGATGAAAATGTCTAAATCTGTCATCAATATTGTATGGCCGTGAGCAGGTGGCTTGCATTGGGACAGCACATGGGAGCATTTTCAAATGTTGACGGGATCCTTCGAGGACTGCCATCAAGGTGACGGTGGTGTGCAGTGGTGCATTTCATGTGTCTGGCTCTTATCGAGTCTTGATTTCTCTCTTTATTGCCCGTGATACGGGATGACACCGCAGTGAACAGAGACGCGGGACTCATTGCGAAACGGTAAGAGGATAAAAAAAGAGACATCTCAAATGAGCATTCATCATCCATCACGCCAGAAAAAACGTGTTCCGGGCCAAACGTCCCCAAGAAGCAACCCGATCCAAAGGGGGAAAGCCTCCCCTTTCCTCCAATTCAGAATGAGATCCTCCAGGGGTGCTCCTCTGGGCAGAGGCAGTGCCTCGAACGGGTTCAACAGCGCTCTTCAGGGCTCTCCAAGTCCCCTAGACTCTCTCTCTGGCAGCAGTGGACTGAATACGTGCGTGTACACGCACATCCCGGCCGGGCCGCGGAAGAGAGGGGGTGGAGTTTGGGAGAGAAACGCTTAATCGAGAAGCTTGTCCTTAGTCGTCCGCACACTTGGACATCCGATGCAGGTCTTGCCTGGTTGGCCTGGGCCAAGTTGCTTTTTTCTTGCTTCTTCCTCGTTGGAGTCGTGGGCACAGCCTCAGCAATCAATAAGAGATAATTGATCATTTCATAACGTTGCGGTTCGGCGGTCTGCAGGAGGTTTGTTTGATCGTAGACAGAACTCTTCCCTCGATGCACCAAAGTCCGAATCTCCAGCAAGGATGAACGAGGGAGCTGAATGCAGCGGAATCTAGGCCTTTAGGGTAATCGATAATGCCGCCCAGAGCGGAGGAGATGATGTCGAATGTCTCGAGGATCATCTGCATGCCAGGCGCGCCGCCATCTCGACCGAAGGAGTTTTGGTAATCTT